TCTTTCCCTTTAATTTTTGATAGGGTAAACAACCAACCCTTAAGTTTTTAAATGTGTTGGGTGAATCTTCAGTATCTATCCCCAGATGCTCTGAAGGAGTGTGCAGTACCCCTCTCTTAATAGTAATGTGAATAGAGTCACTAAATTGTTATTATCCCTGTTACATTATATCAGTAAGAGGCAAGCAAAGTGACATTAAAATAGCCTGTATCTGTGTATCACAATAGTCTTAGTGCAATTTAGACTTGTTCCTCTTTTTATTGGCATGCTGGAGCATCCATCTAGTGTGATGTTTCTGGCCGACGGTGGAAGCTGATTTGTTCATTCTGTTGCCCCTTTGTAAGCAAGGGATTCACCTTAGCGTATGAAATACTAGTCCTGTGGTCACTTCTGGAAAAAAGACACGCGTTGGGGTTAGGTCCCCTTGTGTCCACTCTGCCCTCTAGTGTCTGCCTTCCTTTGCTTCTCTGACTGGTATGAAGAACCCCTCACTGGGTTGTTACTATGAATCGCCTGTGAAGTACCGAGACCCTGCGGCATCCATGGTACCTGCAGTGATTATGGAAGGATTGAGAGAGGAGTTAGTGAGTTCTCTTCCCAGTGTGGGAGGTGGTAATGCATTCTGCAGAAATGAGGCATCCCAAAATGGGACTGGTATCCACTCTGCTTCAGCAGCTTCCTGTCTCTTTAAGAAAAGAAAGTAATCAAATATAAAAATTAAAACTAGTTTTGCTTTTCATCTGCTTAATCATGCTCCAGGCGTTTTATGGGAGGGGAAAAAAGGAAAGAAATAGAAAAAAAAAATCCAAAACACATTAAACTATGAAATAGGTTGATCCAAATTGTCCAAATAATCTTCTAGTCCCAGCATGTTGTGTTTTTTTTAATAGAAATTAGGATCATATACTTGTAAATGACTTGTGGAGGAGATTGAGGCAGTCAGTGTAAATGGAGTTTCTCCAGGTGCTGATGGCTAATCGCTCTGTAATAGCTGTGGACTTGCTGTGAGACCCACATTATTACAATGTAATCAGAATCCTGTTGCTATGCTGTTATTGTCTGCCACTTGTGGAATTTTAAAAGCAATAACAGTTTTTGCTTTTTAAATCATGCCATTATTAAAGTTATTTTCTTCCTCTTGCCATGAATGTAGTCACTGATGCTTATTTTCAAAGGGCTTAACCTTAGTAAAACATTTCAGTCCAAGCCGAAAGGGGTGGTTTTGTTCCTAGTTTAGCTAAGGTTCTTGTTTCTTTTTCATTTTCTGTGTTGTGTGTGTGTATCTTGTTTTTAAATTGGAAAAAGGAGGGGAGAGGAAAAAGTGTTAGGAAGAGGAGCAAAATTACCAGATTTTAGCCCTTTTCAGAAGAGAGGAGACCTGACAAATATTCATAGCAGCACTTGAAATGGGCAGGGAAGTCACAGCACAGGTGCATAGGTGCAGGAGGATCTTTTCCAGATCATAGAAGACTTGCACCTGCTTTTGATATGTTCCTTTTCTGTTAATCCCAGTATCTTGGTTTAAACCTTTTGTTTTTACAGAAATCAGTCCTGATTGAACATGGGATTCGGAGGCTGACTTTTCTTGTAGCACAGAAGGTATTTTGATATCTCTCATGCTGTTTAGAACTCTTTGGTTTCTAGCTCAAAATAGCACTGACATTTGTTGTGTTTTTTTTTCCAAGTTAAATACTGTATTAACTATATTTAGTTCTCTTTTCACTGCTTTTGTTCTCTAAAATTTGAGATAGTTTTAATGGATTTGCATAAGAAAATTAATTTACAATTGTAAACAATCTTGACACCTCTTGTATTCTTGAATTAATTCATTTTTAATTTTCATCTAATTGCTAGCTTTCTTCTGCTTTTTTTTTTTCTCCCTCCCCCCTGCCATGTTGGTGGCTTTCCTTTGTAAGGACTTCAGGAAACAGGTCAACTGTGAGGTCGATCAGAGATTTCATGTAAAATTTTAGCTTTTTTTTGCTTTTTTTTTTTTTCTCCCTCCCCCCTGCCATGTTGGTGGCTTTCCTTTGTAAGGACTTCAGGAAACAGGTCAACTGTGAGGTCGATCAGAGATTTCATGTAAGTAAAAAGGTTCTAGAACTGTGACATTCATGCCCTGAGGCCGGGAGACATGTAAGTGACTCGAGGCTTCTCATAACTAAGCTCAATAATATTTGGTTCTAAGTGAGATGTTTAATTAATGCCAACACTGGTGTCGGGGTCAAGTGAAGTATTCAAACAAACATCTAACTTCAAATACAGGAGCAGGCCTGTTGCATTCAGTGAGGCGAGTGCAATGCGAGAGAGTCCCTAGTTACCTGGCTGACTTCATGACTCTGACACCGTGATAAAGATCTTGATTGTTCCTGTATTGTTTTGTATTCTAAAATGTAATTATACGATTACATTTGCAATTCTTACATAGTGTAGTGATTTCTTTAGGCTTCTCACTGATTTTAAAATAACTCAGAGACGTGATTGAGAAGATTCACTAACTTTGACGTAATGGTTTAGGGATGCAGAAAATATTTGGTGCTCTTACTGCTACGAATTACTTCTTTCTCTAGTGAGGGCTAGTTTGCCCTGCTTTCAAGGTGGCAATGTAAGGCACAAACCTGATTTTTATTCATTGTATATGTACTTCACAACTCTAGAAGTTTTTAAGAATCTTGAAAGTGCAAGAAATTCACCCTGTGTTCAAGAAATAAGGTTTGGCAAGTTTTACTAAAAGAAAGCTAGTTTATAAATCAGCAGAAATGTGGATAGCACCGCTTGGGAATCACTGGCTGTGGTAGTGCAGAGAGAGCATCTGCCCTTGTGGGGTGATCCTTGTGCAGTGTCATATGCCAGTCTGAAAGCTCAGAACTGTCACTGGTATGAGATGTTAGTGCACTAGGAATTAAATACTTTCAAGTCGCGTTGTAGTCTTCGGAAGTTGCCTATTTTACAGTTTATTAATGGATGTTAATTTAATAATAAAGGCTAAGAAGTTATCAGTTGGATGTTAGAAACGAAAACTAGAAGTTTTAGAGAATAGAATTGATACTTGGGGAATGAAAAATAAGAGCCTATGAATAAACACAGTAGCATGAAACAACGGTGAGAAAGAGGGCAAAGACTTGACGGAGTCCTCGCAAAAAGCAATCCAAATTCCCAGTCTCAGGCAGGCGCACGGTATTCTACATTTCATCTACTACCCTGGATTAACAGACTTGAATAATGCCTGAATTGGGATAGTTATGGGAAATGGGTGATTCCCCACTATGGTTCTAGGAGGGGTGCTCTTAGGAAGGACATGTCTTACGTACAGGGAACAGCTAAATCCCAAAGCAAAACCTTAGCTGGTAGAGACCGCCACAGCCTCTGCTGAGAATTCACCCTTTGCTGTAGACGCTTTTGATGGCCTCCTTTGGTTCTCATCAAGTCATTGGTAAAACTTATGTTCACTTCTAGGATTGGCCCTAAATCAGCCTCTGGGTATCCAGATACTAGTGCTGCTTGGCTAAACACTCTCTTGTCAAACTGCCAGCATGTATGTGGGTATTTTTTTTTCTTAAAAAAAAACAAACAAAAAACTGAAATACCAGTGATTTGTTGCTGTTGTTGCTCAATATCTTAGCTTAAAGCTGCGACTCTAGCTGAATTTTAATTTCTCCCTTCAGCTTAAACAGAGTGTGGATGCTGTTCCATACAACTAAACAAACCCGATTTTCAGAAGAAGGTAATAGCAGCACTCTAAGGCCAGTAATGCCTGGCCCTGTATCCCAGAAAAAGTTGAGACCACTTGAGTAATTGGAGTAGTAGCTTAAGTTAAAGAAAGAGCTAACAAAAACAGGTATCTTTACAAAATATCTTAGAACAAAATTTGACTTGCTCTTTGGTGGGTGGTATCTAGTCACCTGGTTTTCAACCAAAATTTGTGGATGCACTAGCAAGCTCACCACTGGTGGCCTTGGTTTTTAGTTTTTTCTCCTCTCCCTTCTTTTGCTCTATACCGAAGTAAAATGGCAACTGAATACCAACTTTAATTTAACCCTAGAGCTTGAAAGCAGCAGAAAGCAGGGTAAGGCTTTGGTGAAATGCCAGGGAAAGTTGTCAGTCACAAGTAAACAATAGCAGAAGATTTTCCAGTTAACAGATATTTAGGCCACATGATACAAAGCTGGGGCATGTGATTATATTTACTTCTCAGATAAAGAAGGTCTTTCAGAGTGCCTGAAAGTGGGTCTCCCAGTAGTCACCAGCACTGAACATGGACTTTCTTTTCCTAGACGGTGGAATTCTGCTTTGTCTCCTATTTGCAAAACGGCATCCTGCACATGCAAAATAAGCTCCAGTTTGGGCTGAGTATATCTGTACACCTTGGCTCTGTAGGAGATGTGGTCCTGACCCCTGGGGATAGATAGGGACACTGAAGAGAGCTGAGAATAGCTCTCATTGACGAATGCGCAGAAGAAAACACTAGATCTATTCCTGATATTTGTCAGTCACTGGTTCTGAATGAATCCTCCACCTGTCCCACACACTCACATCGAGGTACCTGGTCAGACATCCTGTCTCTGCTGTCCTTGCACAAGCTGTTCTGGAGCTCTGTGGATCCCTGTTGTGAACTCGGGGATTCATCAAATGCTACTTGAAGGCTGTGAGCCTGCAGGCTGAGCGTTGTAGAACTCGACCTCTGAATGAGTGGCCTTCACTAGACCCCAGTCTTCCTGGAAGGGTTAGGGAGAACGTAACCCTGTGCTGTGGTGTAAGTAAGATGGTAAATCATGGAGGTTTGGAGAGTTACTTTGAGCCTTCAGAATGGTCTTCTGTGCTTGCAAGGTTGATCAGTATAGTTCTCCTGAACGTGCTTTTACCCAAAAGTCAGGCTTGTGTTTGCCCTGAGCTGAGTTGCTTGCCATCCGTTGTTAAGACGTTGCTGTTCCTAAGCCACAGGATACACTGTGGTATGTCATCTGTTTGGAAAGTTTGTAGAATACCTTTGGGATCTTTTGTGAGTGTCAATCTTTATTACCATCTCCTATTCTATTGTGTTTATTACTGGACCAACTATTAACTTAGCCAGGGCCTGGGCTTGGGTTTGTTTTTGTTTTAATTACAGTCTATATAATTAGTTCCCAGCATGCCGAGGTAATAGAGAGTTGCTCCAGCAAGCTTCCAATTTCCTCATCTCATTAGGTTTTTAACGTGATTATTAGTATAATAATCAACTATGATGATTTCTGTTGTAGCTTTTCACATTCTGCGATTTGCAGGGTGTCTTGATTGGCTAATTTAGGCAAATTATTTTGATTGTCTTGATGATGGTTGGTTGATTAGAACACAGCAGGGGTATAATTCTTCTGCCTAGGAGATGGATCATTCTTTTGGTTTTTGGTACCAAAGAACTGAGAATTTTTGTGTGTGTGCACGTCTAATTGTTACATTTGCCCACAACATAGTCAAATGCCTCGAAAGCAATTACATTAGTGATAGAATGAGCATAGATGGTGTTAGGAGAAATTGGCAGTGTGCAGAGGAGGACAGGTAGGAGGGATCTGGAAGAAAAGTGAGGAAACATGAAAGTGTCTTCTGTGTGATTATTTCTTGGAGTATTATTGATACTTATGGGCTCACCTAAATTTGTCCATTGCGTGGATTTTCAGTGGCAGGATTTCCTGTACCAGTGGCTAATCTGGAAGATATACTCCAGTCAAATATAGGTTACTTTGTTCAGCAGAGTCCTCAGGTGAAATTCTGGGGATTGTCCTCCATAGGAGGTAGAGAAGATGATCCGTTAGTTGCTTCTACCATTAAAAGCTGTGTTGCTCTGTGGAGCCTTATACTATGTCATCATGCAATGGTTGTTGTACTGGATCGAGCTAGAGCTGTCTGTTTTTCGAAGATACTGAAAATGTGACTGTCACTCATTCAGAAATTCAGTGACACCAGGTCAGATAACCTCCTTTTTTTTTTTTTCTTACTACATGATTCTGGCCAGTTGTATATGCTCTCTGCTGTCACCTTTAGCATAAATGGCCAATGTTCTTATGTTGGTGCAAGGCTTTCACAAAAGTTCCTCCACCCAGTAAACATAGTAAACATATTTTGTAGATTTTTGCAGAGTGCTGTTTAATATACAAGAATAAAGTTTCCTGTTAGAACTCACTGTTTTCCTTGGGAAGAGAATATTTCTAGTAGCAGCAGTATGAAGAGAGCTATAGAATACAAAACATCATTTTGTGTGCCTCACCTTACATAACAGGGCGTTAATCTCACTGTAAGGCTCCCAAACATTTCCACAATAATCTTAATAATAGTAGAACTAGAAGAGGTTTGGACAGTTCAATCTTACTGTCTGTTGGTAATAGACAATAATAATCAAAAGCCAATCAAGTGGCAGCTATTGCATTAATAGTGAAGACAGGCTTAAACTACCCCTGCTGCCTTGTTGAGGGTAACATGATGTTCCACCGCCCTTTGTCATATTGTAAAAGTAGCTTTCAACAACTTTTATCCTCCTGCTGTGGTGCCACTCCAGGTCTGGCCTGTGAGCACTCTCTGGGTAGATCAAACAGCTTACTTTTGGAGGGCTAACATAACTGTTTTTATTTTCAAACAGAGGGAATTTCCAAAATTTTTCACATTCCGTGCCAGGGATAAGGTAAGATATATGTTAAGATTTTTTCTCTGAATGTTAGCTTTTATCCTCCTTTTACACAGTTGTTAGATGCCAGTCTAAGAGGGAGGGAGCCAGTTAAAAACTACACAGTGCAGAATTTTCTCCTCCTCTTCTAGGCGCATCCACCACACGCTCAGTTGATGTCAGTTAGAATGATGAGTCTTTGATAATTTTGGATTAAAAAATATGCACTTGGAAGCCTAGCTTGAAGCTTCTTTTTTTGCAGATTTTAGCCGCAGTGAAGCATGGGGAGGTTGGAACCTGTAGGATGATTCGATACCAAACTTTCTGGGCTCTTGTGGAAAAAGAGGGTGTTTTAGGGAGTAAGCTCAAGAACTTGCAATCTGTCGTCTTCTCTCAATATTGCAACAATTTCAAGACAGCCCTTAGTAATAATGATGCTGGTGCATCAGGAAAAAAAATCTCAGGCAAAAATCATTTGAATTTTTAGCTTTTTAGCTATATATGAAATTTCATAATGACTACTGTCTAGTTCTCCCCGTCTTGTGTGTTCCAGCTTCTTAACCCATCCTCCTCTCGTTCACCCTTTTCTCCCCATGCTATGTTGGATGTTTCCAGTTTGAGGAAGATAGGATCTACCGTCATCTGGAGCCAGCTCTGGCTTTTCAGCTAGAATTGAACCGGATGCGAAACTTTGATCTCACTGCCATTCCATGTGCCAACCACAAAATGCATCTCTACCTGGGAGCAGCTAAAGTGGAAGTGGGAACAGAAGTGACAGACTACAGGTTCTTCGTGAGGGCTATTATAAGGCATTCTGACCTGGTTACCAAGGTGAGTTCTGTTGCCCCTGCAAGCTCTGTTTCCAAGATAGCATATGAAACGCTGCAAGTCATTCTGAGGATCTGCGTGCAAGCGTATACACTTATATGAAGAACTGCAGATGCTTGGCCTCTCTCTGCTAGTGTGCCTCTACAGAAGTACTTCTTCAAAGACTTAATGTTCCTGTACTTCAAGGAGATTTTTTTTGTGGCCTAAGTGGATAGTCAGGAATCCTTGCTTTTTGAGTTGATCATTGTTTCTCTGTGATGCTCCTGCGCTACTGCAGTAATGGTTTGCGCTGTCCAGGTTCAGATTTATGCTGACCTAAATGAGGGCACAACTCAGCCGGGTACGTGAATCCAGGCAGAAGGAATACTAGCTCTGTGATTGTGATAGATCTGCGGTAGAGTTGCATTTCAGGCTGAAACTAATGTAACCTGTTTTCTTAATCAAGCCCTTCTACAGTTTTTCCAACACTGTATTCTTGGGTTGTGCTTTTTGAGTAGAAAGTAAATTGTTTGTTGATGATCTGTGGCAGGAAGCCTCCTTTGAGTATCTGCAAAATGAGGGAGAGCGATTGCTTTTGGAAGCCATGGATGAATTGGAGGTGGCTTTTAATAATACCAATGTGCGCACTGACTGCAATCACATCTTCTTAAACTTTGTGCCTACTGTCATCATGGACCCATCTAAGGTATGCTCTGTTCCCCAGCTGTGAACTGTTTGTTATTCTGGGTCTTTACTTACCAGAATGGAGTTGTCATCTGTTATTTTCTTATGCTATTTAAGCACACCTGTTGGCTGAGTGTATTTTAATACAATTTGGTGAGTGACGTGCAGTTTCTCCTAGCCATTTTATAGCAGAAAGCACAGGCAATCAGTGACCAGCATGAGAAGGCATAATCAGCTTAGTTATTCTAACTACGTTTTTTTCTTATCAGTAGAAAATCATGCAAGTACTGAGAGATTCATCACTTTGTTTAGTTACTTCTGGATGGATTTGGGTTTCTAGTTGTCAGTATAAGTCATATGGAATATACTTTTGCCTCTAGAAAGAGGTAGTAGAGAATGTTATTACCAGAAAAAAACACAATAATGCCATGGATTAACCTAGAATCTGTTAAGGGGGAAAAAATCTTTTTTTTTCCTTTTTTTTTTCCTTTTTTTTTTTATGTGATGGATTAAAGTAGATACCATAATATAAAAAATATGAAATATAAATTGAATTCCAGAAAGTTAAAAAAGGGTCTTCATGATTCAGAATTTACTTGTAGTCTATACCAGTCACATATTTACTCCAGTGTATAAGTGATGGAAGTTAAGTTTAAAAAGATTTGGCCATCGTATTTTTCTGCTGAAAACGTAAAGAAAGTGGAGTCACATAACCAGTGGAAGTCTCTGACTAAAGATTGCAGTGTTTGTTGAGTTGATAAACCAATTTTTCTTCAAAAGTCGAAAGAATAGTTATTATTTTAGCTAAGTAAGATAAACAGTTAGTTTCACACTAGGAACCCATTTGGGAATTGGAGAAGCAAGAAAGCTTTATTTCTTCTTCCAGTCTATGAGTAAGTATTAAGTGTAAGATTCCAGAATTAGCAGGGCTCCCGTTTTTACTGGAATGGCGCTGTCCTTCAGGCAATAGAGTTCACTTCCTCTATTTAAACTAATGAACGCTTTATCAAAATGTGTTTCGTATTTGAAACTAAAGTTATTATTTCACAGCATATTTAAGATAAATATTCTTAATATGGAAATAGCTTACAATACTGATTTGTTATAAAAGTCCAGATATTATCCAAATACAATGCGAGACAAATCGTGAACTTAAGAAGAATTTGAAAAACCAACTAGTAAAAAAGAAATTTCTAGTTTTTCATTCTCTCATATAAAAGCACAAGGAAGTCAGCATTGTAAATAAATGAACATTAAGCTTTGTAGATGCTTAAATGAAAGTTTTTAGGCATAAAGCATGTTTCTGCTTAGCAGGGGAACCACAAAGAACGTCCCCAAAAAACTCTAAAGGCTGTATTTGCTTGGAAATCAATATTCTGTTCATGATTACCGAAAGATGAGAGCTGACCTTTCCTTATGAAAATAACTGAAAGTTTAAAGAGATGAATTGGTTATCAAAATAAGTGTCTCCTGCTTGCGGACTTTCTAAATCATGATTAAAAATGGGTGGTTTAAATCACTTCTAAATAAATCCCTTCTCAGTGTATGTAAAATCTTCAGTTCCCAGCAACTTCAGTAGCAGCTCTGGAATATGCAGCCCCTGGAAATTAAGCTGCCTTCAAATGTATACAATGACTTTTCCCTGAGCAGCTGTGGAAAAGTGTGTGTTTTTTTTTTTTTTTTTTTTTTTATTTCTTTAGTTTTTTTTTTTTTTTTTTTAAAGAATGTTAAAAACAGCCTACAAGTTGCCTTCTTTTAATATGCGCTATTTGCTGACAATAGTATATTATAAGTTTAATAGAACCATAGTGGACCCAGCTCTAAGTAGTAATTGCTTTGTTGATTTAAAGCATTGTAGTGTATCTGCCGTGAAACATGATTATTATGCGTATAAGTGCTACATAACTGTTTGTCAAGGATTTCACTTTCCTGCATTTTGTAATTCTTAGCAGTGAGCTGTAGTTGCAGGAAGAAAAGTAAATGAAGGAGAAGCAGTGGGCGCACTGTGCTTGGCCAGGGGTACGATGGGCTGTGAGGTAGCGATGTGAATCTGGTACCGTCAGTCTACCTCAGCAGTCCCCAGATTTTGAGTCAGTTGGTGCCCTTTTCCAGTGTTGTCAGGATGGAGTGACTAGGCCGTGGTCAGGTAGCACCACTGGGCCCGTGCTGCCACTTGGCACTTTATTCTCTCTCCGTTTCCGCGATTTCCCCTGTAGAGTGGTGTGCACCTTTGAGCAGCACCATGCCGTGGTGGGACAGAGTGACCCAGTGGTGAACATCTCCAGGCCAGAAGGGTGAGGGCATTTCTTTTCTTGTGTTTTAAGATTGAAGAATCTGTGCGGAGCATGGTGATGCGCTACGGGAGTCGCCTGTGGAAGCTCCGTGTCCTCCAAGCCGAACTGAAAATCAACATCCGTTTGACCCCGACCGGAAAGGCGATTCCCATTCGTCTCTTCTTGACCAATGAGTCTGGCTATTATTTGGACATTAGTCTGTACAAAGAAGTGACAGACTCGAGAACAGGACAGGTATGGCTCTGTGCAAACAAACAATTTGTGGGGCTGCAAGTTGTACCTGATTAAGCTCTTCTATGGTTTGCCATGTTTTCAGGTAATATAAAATTGCTGTTCAACTTTGCTATATAAAGAGGAACAAATCGTTGTAAAGATATTCAGTGGGCATGTAGATGTGCAAAACCTGTAAACAATTATGAGAAAGTGCATATCTTCTAATTGTTTTGCATATACCTTGAGTTATTTGTACAACATCTGTTTTCTTCATTGATGGAGTACTCTAAAAGGTAATAGAAAACAATCACTGTTGATGCTTGTTCTGCAGGTCATAGTATTTCCCTGAATAGGTAAAGAAGATCTGTGAACTCTTAAATTCTAGAGGTATAACAAAGGACCTGGGTAGGATGCTATAAAATTATTGAAAGCACTTTTAGATCTTTTTTATTAAATACAGTAGGCTCTTTTAAAATGGTTGTGCCTATTCTGGTATTTGTGCTTTTCATGGCATAGGTGTGTTGTGGTTAATTCAAATACTTGCACGTGGTAAAATACATAGGCCTTAGGATGAATGAGAAATATTTAAATATAGAAATATTTACATCTCTATAATAATCTCTCTGCCATGGAGTAGTAGCAACAGAATAAATCACTTGGACAGTGTAAATGTCAAATATAAACTGCTGAGTCACCTTTTCTCCCCTCTTCCCATTTAAATTTTTCTGGCAAGCTGCCTGACTGTGCAGTCCGTCCAGACTTGAGATCCTGGAACAGATAATGTCAGTATGTTTTACTTCATTTCTGCCTTTGAGTGGAGATGAGAAAAGGACATTTTAATAACCTTCAGTGGCTGAGCTTAACACTTGAGTTTTGTTAGTCACTTGCGAAGGTCACCTTTCCTCTTAAATTCTGTCTCTTATGAGCTGGTTAGAGAAATGTCCATGTCAGACCTAGACTATACTTTATTTTCGTAAAGCTGGGAAAGCGTGCTTTTATGTGTACAGCTTTTAGGAACTTTTCCAGTATTTGATTTTTTTTTTTTCCCCAGCATATTAAACGAGTTCTATTAAAAATTCTACAGATTGGAATTGTTTTAATTAATTCCTACAGTACTTTTAAGGAAAATTTGTCTTACTACATTTGAAGGTGTTAGTTTATAAGAAACTTTATAGCTTTCTCTCTCGTGACAGCTTTATAGGACAGGTTTGTATCTGGGTATGCCTTCCTCTGTTTTCAGAGGGCTATTTTGAATCTAGAGACCTGTTTTAAAGAACTGAAGCATTACTGATGTACCAGGTGCTGGGCACTTCTATGATTTTTGAAGAATGGAAACATAAATTGATCATAAAAGGATAACCCTGCTCTTGTTTCATGGTTTCTACAGTAATGAGTGGGTCCACTGTCTTTATTATAGACTTCTCTAGTTCTGATAGAACTGATCTCTCCATAGGTTTAGAGATTTGAGCCCCAAGCGTAGTAAGTCCCTACCAAAGGCACTGTCGTTAACGCTTGTTATCCTGAATAAGTATTTCTCCCATTGAAGAAGCTACTTCACAAAGCAAGCTTTGTGAAGACTGAGAGCACAAACTATTATTTTGAATGTTGAAAACTAAAATAGGCTTTATTTACTGAATTTTCTCTCTAGTGGAATTCTCCAATTAAATCACCTTCAATTAAAAAAAAAGAGCTGTAGAGCATTAGATTTGATAACCGTTCTGATAAAAACAGTCTAATCAAGTTGCTTCTGTCATACATGTGTTCCTATTAAGCAGCATGTGCTCAGTGTTGTCCCAGTTAAGCAGTGCTCATTGCATTTATTTCTTAGTTGAAATGGATTTCCTTCTGAGTCCTGGTCAAGTGGAATATATAGTGCCATGAAGCATGGCAGCTGATAATTCATGTTGCTACTCTGGGAAAATCTTTTAAACTTATAATATCAAAACTTCAAGCCAAATGACATATGCAAGTCTTGACCTAGCTTCTATGATCAGTCAGTGGAGATACGGATACAGTGCTGTTCGACTACATAAATAATAGAGTTCTCCTCTCTGCTCCCAGCTATCACAATCAATCGGCATAGATACAGTGTCAGGGGAAATACTGGTGAATGTGAAGTCATCTAAGTCACAGGCTTTTCTCTATGGAGATGTGGCTCTGTTAGCTTTACTTTCTGCTGTGATAAGGTAATAAGTCAGTGATACTCAGATCTGTGCAGTAATGGTCCAGCGCTGTCTCCAAAGGGTAGTAACGCATGATGAAGCATGGTCTTATAGAATATGTGAATATTATCATATTTGGAGAGAATAAAAGCAAGCCTGATCAATCTGGAACATCTTGATGATTTTCGGTAAAATATGGGTGAGATAAGACTATTGAATCAGTGAATTAAAATTGTAATTGGTCGTGTTCTCTGCTTCAGATTATGTTCCAAGCATATGGGGATAAACAAGGACCACTTCATGGGATGCTCATCAACACCCCGTATGTGACCAAAGACCTGCTTCAGTCCAAGAGATTCCAGGCACAGTCTTTAGGGACATCATATGTCTATGACATTCCCGAGATGTTTCGGCAGGTAAGTAAGTGTTCTTTGTTAAGTCCTGTTGGGTTGTTCTAGAATTTTGTACCAGAAAAGCACTTTTATAAGTTGCCATCCTTGCTTCTCGGGAAAATGTGTGACCTGGAGTGACTAGCATTAGTTCCCCAGGGTCTAGGCAGCTATGGATTGAGTCTACTTTGAAAAAAGATAGGACTCCTAATACGCCACTGCTCACTGCTGTAGCATCACTAGTAAATCAAACAGTAGAAGTTGAAACATAAAGGATCTTGTGTTTCTTGCTTTTGTTTTTTCGTTCTCCCATCCTGTTATCTAACCTTCTCAGAGGGTTAGACAGTGCAGGGGCGATGGTACCTAGGATAAGGCTCCACTACAACTTCTTTTGTGCTCCTGGCCTGCTTAAGTGAGGGGTTAAAAGTCCTAATCCTTAAATATAGACAGTGCTTTAACGAATGGCTTTGAGTTTCACTGTATGCTAAGTTGGAGAGTAGCACGCTGCCAAGGTGTATACAGCGTTCCCCATTAGTGCTTGATTTCTTAGAAACTAAGAATCTCCTAATGCTTTCAGGAGAAGCCTGTATTGCCACATCAGTAAATACGTTACCCAGAGTTGCAGCTTTGATTCTGTATCTGATTTGTTGGGTTCTATCCAGAATCACATAATTTGAATAACGCTGCTTTAGGTGAAACTGTGTTTCATGGCTTAAATTCCAATGTAAGTGGTATCCACTGAATAGTACCAGTCAAATTTGGGGGGTGAGGGGAGGAGGAGGGAGGTTGCAGAGCAAGTGTTCTGTCTTGAATATTAAGTCACAATGGGTTGAAAAAAAAGATTTGCAGATGGTGTTCTTAACAAGAATTTACCGTTTCATCCTCTAGTCTTTGATTAAGCTCTGGGATTCTATGAACGAACATGCGTTCCTACCCACACCGCCTCTGCCGTCTGACATACTAACGTATACTGAATTGGTGTTGGATGATCAGGGCCAGCTGGTGCACATGAACAGGCTGCCGGGAGGAAATGAGGCAAGTTGCACTTTCTTTTAACACTTCTTTTCTTTCCATGTCCTGCAGTACATTGTGCCTTGGACTAGCTTTGACAATTGTAATGAAAATGTACCCAGCCAGGCACAAAATCTATTCATTCAGTCTTTCATAGGTGAAATCTCTCTCTTGAAAATGAGATTTTTGTTTCATTAAAAATTAATACCTTCCATACAATGGGTATTTTAACCTCCATAGTAAATGATGATTCCATTTCAAACCTGTGCCTATGCTATTTTTTCCTTCATAATTAAAAAGTGCTCATTCAGCTGTTCCAGGTAGCTGGGGTTTATATTTGAACAAAATATGTTTTGCAAGAACAAATAGAAATATTTTCATTTGCTTAAAAAAAGGAAAACCAATTTTATGCTTTGCATTTAAATATTCGCCATGTGGTGCGGTGTTTGTGTAGTGCACTGGCAATGTGTGTGCAACATCCCCCTCTAGTGAATGATTTACATGAGACTAACAAGCTGGTAATGCTGTCAGGGTAATGGAGTTCCTCTGTCAGCCCGCGCAGGAGGAGGCTGTGCTGCTGCGGTGGGCCTGCGCTGGTGGGTCATTACGTTAGCAAGCCAAAGATTGCAGCGTCGAAATGACTGGCGAATAAAGCTAATGAGTAGAAGGGGTGTTTATTTTTTCGTCCAAGCTAGATGGATTTTTCAGTTATTTAAATTTGAACAGTTCTAAGGGGTGGCAGCATTTATTTTTTTTTCTTGGCATCAATGAACTATCGGTCTCTTTTGCTAGATATATAACCGTAAGACTGGCAAAATCTCTGTTCTTATTTCAAAAACGTTAAATATAGTGAAACAGGGATTTTCATCACTGCTTACTGCATTGCTCCTGTCAGGAGAAGGTTTTGAATATGATTTTTTCAGATTGAACCTAATTGGTAAATGGTGACTGAGGGGGCAGTACTTTCCTCTCTTCTGCTGGGCCTGTAGCAGAAATGTTTTAACTAGTATAATTAAACGCGAGATGAGCTACTCCCTGCATTCGTCGTGAGAGCTGAGGCTGCAGTGCTGCGGAGGCTTATGCCATCATCTTTCTCTCTTTCTTTGCTCTCATTCAGCGTTTGAGCGGATGGTGGCTAGGGAAATAGCAAAGTCCCTCAGGGACGTAGCTCTGTTCCTGCAGAAATTACAAGCACAGAGCTGCCTGGGCATGAACATGCAGTGTTTACTCTGCCAGTATGAATACAAATAGTCTTATTATAACAGATTCTGTACCCAAAGACCCACCAAAAAAAATTAGGAGTTTATTTTAACCCCTGGTAGACTTAGCTGTGCTTGGTCTGAAAACCGCTTACATGGCTGCTGTGGTGTGCATAGTGTTGTTATCTAACGCACAGGTTCAGGACCCAGCTCTGGGTGTCACGCTGTGGGGCTGAGTCATTGGAAAGTAAGACAGACAACTGAAAAATATGAAGTTCTTCCCCGACTTTGCTGTCTGTTTGTTGAAGATGACTTCTCATGGAGGTGTATGGCAAATTCTGAGTTGCTTCCTAATGACTTTCCAAAAATGAAGTGAGGGGGCTGGCCATGGAGGTGAAATTCCAGTAAGGGGTCACTGTCTCAGGTGAAGCCTAGAGGAAGTGCTCTCTCTGTGTGTTCCCAGAGAGGTATTTGGCTAAAAACTAGTATTGCTAAAGCCTGTTCACAGCTGGATGAGTTACTGTAGGACCATGTGCAGCTGGAATGGGGCTTGAGACATCAGTATTGAATTTTGTTACCAGTAGCCCCTGCACACAATAGGGCTCACTCACTCGTGGGAACGGCCACTCTGAGGAAGAGGCTCCGGCAGGAGCTGAAGGGCAGGTGACATTCAAGAAGTGGCGAGCTGTCGAACGGATGCATTCCTCCATGCTGCGCTCGCTTTAGCAGGATGAGCTGACTTTAGGCTTTTATGGTTTAATTTCTTTTAGCTGAGGAAACAAATTTGTCACAAACTTGCACTCAAGTTTCTCTCGCCAACGAAGGTGGCTGAGGGGGTGGAGGAGGAAGGGACAGGATGCTAGATAAATTCAGAGCATAAGCCTTTTCTTTGTTAAGGCTGTAAATAGATTCATTCTGCTTTTCTTGAGAATCAGTCTGCATAGCATCTGGGCAGAAAAATACAGCATTTTGTCTGCTGGGAAGCAAAGATCCTTGCAGTGATCTATCTATGTGGCAGGAGCTGGTAGTATTGCATAGGAAGAGGGGGCATGCCACAAGGAGTAGGAGAGAAATTAGCTGGTTCTGTGCTTCTTCCATATGATACAATGGTGAAACACATTCTCAAAATACGGCATGTGTGTTTCATTGGCTCTCTAGACTTGTCTGACTTGGTTAAGGAAGAGTTTTGTCCTCAGATAGCTGTATTTGACTTTAAATAACAGAAGCCTGTATATACTGAAAAATCATGTTAAGGAGAGGTGTTGGGTCTTGAAGGGCTGAGTAGAGATGGGAAGGCCGGGTTCCCAAGCTTTGCAGCAGCTTGCTTGGTAACCTTAGTCACAGTAACCTTAGTTCACTGCCTCAGTTTGTTTATTTCCTAATAAGATGGGACTGCTTTGGGGTGCTGTGAGGATAATTTAGACAAATATGTTTTAAGATTCTTTGAATATATAGTTGCTAAATTAGTGCCAGGTATTAACGTTACGTGATGTCCCTCCAGGTTGGGTTGTTAATGCTTGATGGTCAGCGCCAAGGGCATCGGTGTCCCAGAGTTTCACAGATGTGAGATGTTCCCACTGACAGTGGGAGTGCTTCTTAGGAATTTTCCAAGTGAATGTTACTTGTTTTGTTTGTTTGTTTGTTTTTAAACCCCTCCCCCCAGCTGCTGATTTATTTAATTCACATCTTTTGAGAGAATGTACATGCATTTTTTGCTAAAGAGGAAATTTCTGTGCAAAACTTCTGACTGTAGTAAATGTAGTTATCGTTTAGTGCGTTTAGATTCCTATTACTGTTCCACTTGTTTTATACCAGAGACCCAAACACAACTTTTCCTCCATTGCAAGCGAGTGCCCTGACCCTCATCACATCAGCTCTTCTAAGGTAGAACTTGTCTTTTCTGTTGGAGCTGGGCTACGTAATGTGAACAGTTAAATTTTCTCTATGTGAAAAAGGGTCAAGACATTTTTCCTCTTAGAGCATTCAGGTCAGTTCAGCGCCCTAATTGTTTTAACTACTTGGTGAAATTGAGAAACTAGAATAAAATCCAGTCGACTTGTGGTCAGCGTGTTCACCTGGATGTCAACAATAGAGGTTCAAATCCCTATTCTAATACTGGGCAGAGCTTGAATCTGGGGTTCTCCCGTCCTCATGGAGTTCACAAGCAGTGTCCTGGGGTACCCTAGCTCACACTGTTTGTCTGTGCTTTCACAAAAATATATGAAAGGTTTCAGGTTCATCCCTGTGCAGAATGGGAAGTCTCAAGAACTTTCACAATACAACAGATATTTCTCCATGTAGCTTGTGACCACTTCACGTAACCCACCACCTAATTTGGCGGTAATTATCTCTTTGCTAGTAGTCTCAACAAAGAAGCCAAGGGCTTAATGAACTGTGGAAATATAACTGGCTCTTTATTCCTGGACAGTGCTTGCTCCTTCTGAGCAGAGGATCCTGAGTCTTGTCGTGGCCACGTGGGGGAGCTTGCACTGCTGCTGGCCATGCAGCACGTACTCTCGTCGCACAGAAGACATCACTAATGCAGGGCCTTTCCCCAGTCTCTTGTCCACTCTAACACGCAGTCAGTGTTCTTCTGAAATACATTTGCTATTTCTCTGAACTGCAAACAAAATCCTGGAGGCTGCCTGGAGCTTTCTGCTAGAGGGCTTCTCTTCTGATCCTTCCCGATAAGCTCCTGAACTGTGTCCTGGTCTCTAGTTGTTCTTTTTTTGTGTGTCCTCTTACCAATTTGGGTGCTTTGACTCCTCCCTTGTATGTGAGACTTTTCTAATAAGCTCTATCTGCTACCATAGGATTTCAGTAGGCCGGCGCTCTCAACAGTACTTAATAATTCACAGCAATAAAAACCAGCACCAGTAGCTATATAAGGGAGCTGAAGAAGACAGTATTTTATCAGTAGAATGACCAGTCAACAGCTCCTTTCCACCTAGGCACAGCCCATTGAATTGTACAGGGCTTGCATAGGAAAACAAAAACCACTTGCAGAAGATTGCAGACAACTGCATTCTGCTCCTAAATGTCATTAAGAAAAACATTTAAAGTTCATACCATTGCCCAGATGCTGATTTACATTATACCACAAGACTTTTAACATACCTACTAGTTACATTTTTTTTTAATAAATACAAGCCTTTGTTTTTAGTAGCAGTCTTCTATGTTGCTGGCAAAGCTCTTCTCCTTTGGGCAGGTGGGACGGTGGTCTGCAAGCAGGACTTGCTGCTTTGCTATGGGGAGGGATGGGCTTGAAAGGATGCAGCTGGAACAACTCATCTTGTTGGGAGAGTGCGAGAGCACCGCCAAGCACCTGGGAGCGTTCTGCTCTGCAGCGGCTCAGCTCTGGCAGGCCACAGGCTGTCCGGTAAGCCTTCAGTGTTGCTCTGTAGTTGTGTGGCTGCGTTAAAACAGGGAAACCTCTGAAAGCATCAGAAATTGTGTGAACGCAGACAGGTATACAGGGCTAGAGTTCAGAAGTATATGGCAACTCACAATATTTAAAAATGTGTTGCTTGCAGTAGCTCTGAGACCTGACCTATAGCATAGAGACACCCTCTTTAAATACCCGTTGAAGGTGGCTTTATTCAGAAGATTGACATGTTAGCTGAAATTTTAGTGTAAAAAGGTAATTACCTCAGCCTGTGGCAAGCTCCTTGTCATTCCTGAGCTGGGCATTCTGCTGTTTTCTTCTATAGCACTTTATATATTTTGACTAAAGTTTACCGTGGTCCTCTAGTACTAGGACTGCCCCATCCACTGATAAGACCCAACTAATCCTCAAGGGCAAGGAGAGAGCGAGTGTAAGGAGCA